GGAAAGAGAATGTTTTTCTCTTCAGTGGATGGGGTCTTCCTAGGGTTCCCAAGGTCTGAGGCTGGCATGGCAAGATAATTTATGAACAAAGAAATTGGGGAAGAAAGTTGGGAGAGAGATCTGCATAGTTTGCATCCTGGATTTTAATACAAGGGAAGGAGGAAAATCTGCTAAATGAGGAAATGGCCATGGATAAAATTATCTGATGGCCGAAAGAAAAGGCAGCAAATGGGACGGGTACATAACTGAGAACAGTGTGGAGTTTAGTAGGCAGTGAAAGGATTCTTTATAATCTGGTTAGGAAATGGGGTGTGGCGAGTTTGAGACAACTGAAAAGTTTGTACTATGATGCAAGAAACCTGGACAATAGTAGACTGGAGGAACAAGAATGACTGGCACAGAGTGTAGGGCCAGAGATTTAGGGGTAAGAAAATACACAGTGGACTAGCAATTATGACTGGGACACAGCTTAAAAAGGGTACATGCTTTTCAGGAAAGGTGGAAATAAAGGTGAAGATGGGGGAAGCGGGTGGTGGCAGGGGGTGAGTGTTATACTTTAACTGAAAACATTGTGTAGGGGAAGGATGGCACTGGGAGTCTGCCTAGATTACAGGGTCAGATGGGAATGTAGATATTGGTTACTACTATTGTTGGGTAATACTACAGCAAGTTGTCAATAGGAAACATGTTCTATTCGGTCCCAGTCATTCCAGTATATGATAGTCAGAAAGGCCATATGCTTGATTATGGAAAATAGCAGAGATTTTCTTTTATAAAAGAGCTGATAAAAATTTAAAAAATGAACTTTTTACTGATAACTTATTGATACAGTCTAAATCTAATAGGAGGATAAACTGACTTAAGTCTTTAACTAGGTTAAATGCTTTGGGTTCAAAAAGGGAAGTATCTTGCCAAACCAAAGGAGGTAGGTTGGGGTGGCCAACCCGCAGCAAATGGTCTGCAAGTGGTATGGGCAGCCTCAGTACATGGCACAGGGCAGGGTGGCAGATGGGGCAAGGGGAAGGGGATTGGGATCAGAGTGGCAGTTGGGGAAGGGGCTGGGCTTACCTTGTGGCATGCCTGCTAAAAGTTGGCCCCTACTGAGCTAGGTGGTGAAGGTAGCTAGACAGAAAAGCTGGGACACTTCAGTGTAGGGGAGGCTTGGAATTACTTTGACAATAAACTCAGTGCATTGTTTGTGTTGTCATACGCAGCAATTTCCTTTTTTCTGGGACAGTTTCGCTAATCTGTCTTCAGAACACAATTTGTCAGTAAGTGATTAATTGCCATTATCTAGTTAGGACAAGTAGACAGAGTTCTTGCCAGTGACCTCTTTATAGACTTTTATTTAACAAAGGTTACATGAAGTCAAATGCCTTTCTTGTCTTCAACTTGCTTTCCCAAAATGAACATTTTTTTTCAACAGGGAATTATTTTTTGGTTGCAAACTTAAGGTGGAAGCCCTTGTAAGTGCTTTACTCTGTTCCAATGCTCACTCCCGCATTAACGGATCATTGCATCTGCAATTGTCCTTGATCCAGGGCTTTGGTGGGATAAGGCCCTGTGGCTGCTCATTCTTGTCTGCATACTAGGAATTACTGAGAGGATTTACACAGCATGTTCCTACAACTTCTGCTTAAACTGGGGAAATTGCATGACAATTCTTCTCAAATCTACCACTCTTGGAAATAACAGGAAATGATTCACGAGTAAACACACATGCAACAAAATGTCTAGAACAGTGGGTTCTCAACCAACTTTAGCCTCAAAGCACCCTTTGCTAGACTCCAGGCACCTCTCAGAAAATGCAGCTCTTTGTTTTTCACTGGTGTATTTGGGTACAGAGACTAGAGCAGTTCTTCTGCTGCAGAAAACTCAGAAAGACCACTCCAGGTCAGAATGTCTTTAATAGTATGGAGTCCTAGTTGAAATCTCTTGGTTCTTTTTGTAAATCATGTTTGCACACTTAGTAGTGCTAGCTTTGTGTGGCACCTTGGGGCACCTTTTGAAAGGATCTCATGGCACCCTAGGGTTCCCTAGCACCCTGGACAAGAATCAGCGGTCTAGGAAGTGAATGCTGATTATAATTTGTTTAGACCCTTGCCACGTACTAAACTGAAATGACCAATGATTGTCTCAATGGTAATTTACCCACCTCTTCAATAAACTTCTGTGTACATGATAAACTGAATGTGTCAGCCTAATGACATTTCGCAGAAAGTGGTTGAACTCTTCTGCCTTCACACTATTGATGCAAAAAGAGAAGTTTAATGGTAAAGCTATCATGACTTCTTGCTGGATAACCTGACCTTTCTCTCTCCCTCCCTGTCTCCACTCCCCCATTACCAAAAAGACCTCAACTTCATGGGTCAGCTTCAAATGCCTTACCTTCTCTACAGGTCTGTAGGCCAGAAGTCCAAGAGTGGGAGGGAGTGCAGCTGTCATCCATGGTATGGCCATTTCATCATAGGTTCACTCTTATGCTGCATGGAAGATTTTTAATTTAAGTTGTCAATTTGGAACTCGGCACAATTCTTTATCTTTTTTTCTCTGTGGTGTGTTTTTTTTTTTTTTTTTGTATATGTTGACCATTAATTTTTTTTTGTCATGACATTGCCCCTTTTGTGTAGGTTGATTTGATTAAGTCTCCCAGAAGGTCTTCACGGACTTCTCTAGGTTTGATGATCAGCCTTCTCTGTCTTGTTAGGTACTTGTATTTCCTCTTAGTAACTTTCTTCCTAACAAAACCCAACTTGAACAAAACCAAACCAAAATGGCTGTACTTCCCCATTCAGAGAGTCTCCCTGCAACTAATAGGATGCTTGCAAAATACCATTCTCTGTCTACTCTGTTTTGTCCCCCTATACAGCAACTGATGAAGTGAATTTGGGTACATGCACAGAATTAAGTAGGTAGGGAGGTAGATGGCTCAAATTATATGTATATGTAAAATTTAGTTAGTCTATATACCCTGCTTTCTGACTGACTTCAGACTACCACAGCTAAATACCTCTGTCTTCTCCTCAGCCTTTATGTTTAGATTGCAAGTTCGTTTGGGCAAGGACAGCAGGGTTTCCATTTGCAACCAGACTATGTAAAATATGTGAGGTGCAGACAGGCATTTGACCTTGGAAGAATCATGTTGATCTGGCCCTGCTAAACTACGCTTGTATGCTGCTTTCCAGTCACTGAAGTTGAATTTATCCCAAATTTGCATTTGCACGTCACTAGACTTCAAAGCTGCTGGGTTGAGTGTAGTGGCTTAAAACTTCCCAAGCTTGTAGCAAGTACTGTACATAGGTTAACTGGCTGTACAGAAAATTTGTGGGCCCTGGTAGCATTATAGCTGGCTGGGAAAATTGCGCTGCAGTTGCTACTGAAGTATATTCAGTTTTATCGTTGTGTGCTTTTTGTCCATATTTCACTTTCTATTCTTGTGCATAACAGCACTATAAATGTATTAGTTTAACAGCTGCCTAAGTGCTGTGAACTGAAGCCTCTTCACATTGTCTTCTGACTTGGCTTCACAAAAGCTTAAAGTAAACTTCCATTGCATTTTTTTTTTTTTTTTTTTTTTTTGGAATTAGCTGTTCCTTGATGCTGCATGAAACAAACACCAGCCAGTGGCAATATTATTTATAGCATTTGGGGACTGAATTTGTATAATACCCTTTTTATAAAGAAGGAAGAAAATGGGGGAACTACCATAATTAAATAATTAAGAAAATATTCCCAAGCATATAATAGGTTTATAGTAATCACACAGTAGTCCCTGTTCTGGAGGGAAACAGCAGCCCCCCCACCTCATCTATAGATTGCATCCAGGGTCTCTGTAAAGTCTTCTCTTGGTGCTGGCCGAAAGGGTCATCTTTGTGATACCAGGGAGGAAGCTGAACACTGGTGTGCATGATCTGACTATGGGTCCTATTTCTATTCCTTCTTGCCTTATGGTTCTGGGTCAAGTCCCTTAGGGGACTGTGCACAGACTGCTTGGATTACTTTGGGATGTGCTAGGGGATGTTCAGGCTTGCTGCTTGGTGCAGGTCTCAGGAATGCTCAGTTTGAACCTTATGTACCCAGTTTTTGTCCTCCGAACACTCCTGGGTTTTGACTCTGTGGCCTTGTCCCTCGGGATGGGAGAACCAAGGCCCACCCATTCCAGGATTTCCTTAATGGGAGCATGCCTTCCTCAATAACTTCCTCAGTAAATGAGGTGGGGCTATAGAGACAATACCTTCTTCACTACACAAACCTGACTAATCTCTAGATTTAGTCCATCCTGTGCACTGAATTGGTTCCTTTGGAAAACATCATGTGATTGCATGGTTGGAGATTATGAATAGTGGAGATACATGAGGTAGCTGAAATAATGTTTTATGAGACACTTTAAGAATGGTGGTGAGTGTTTTTTAATATGAACAGAACATTTCACCCCTTACTCTGAACTGGGGAAGTAGCTGACTTTGATTTAAGGAAAACACACGTGTGCACACACACCTGGCTTCTAAAACTTCATCCTGAATCATTAATGTTAGTAGTTAGAAGCAGTTTAAAAACAGGAGCACGTAATGGGAAGTGTTGGGCAACCTTAACTATAGGTGGCATTATAGTTCAATATGTAATGAAGCTTTCATAAATGAGAGCAGCTCCTTGTTGGTGCTTTTCTGTTTACTTGCAGCTAATCTTCTCTTGCACATGTGTTCATTAGTTTGTGATAAGCTGGAAGATATTGGCCTTGTGAGCAAGGGTTTCAAAGGAGGAATGAAATCTCCCTTCATAACCTCTGTTTTTTTGCCTCTTTAGAATGACAGGTGCAAGACTTTGTTCATTTGGCTTTATGAACTGTGGCCAGAAGGACTGCAGAGCTTCATTATCTGTCTGTTAAAGCCAGTGCTACTGCTATTGCTTATCACTGTAATCCGAAGTAGCAGTGAGAGATGTGGAAATGTTTTATTCCTTGTTGGAATTGTTACTTTGGGGTATTAAAGCTGTGAGCTGATATGGGCCTTAAAATTAGTTAATATCTTGCTTTCTCTGGAAATCTTGGAAAGGCAGCTTGATTGGTATCTTAAGAATTGCTTTTGCCATTTACTCTCTTTGTGGTAAAATCTGTAACACATTTTGATGAAGGAAGCAATAACCTGAATGACTAGAAAAGCCTTCTGTGGAGTACAGAAATGGCACAGTAGAAACAGTCAGTCTAGTGGCACCTTTGTTATAGGAATCTGCAGCTGCTCCTGGTTGCTTTCAGCTCCCAAGGAAGATTTTTTCTTTTAACTTTGTTATCCACATAGAGGCAGTTCAGTCCAGGTAGAAGCAAATCTAGATCTGAGGGTCCTCAGATTTATTGAGCAAGAGCTGATGTTGCATTTCTAGGGTATGTCACTTCTTTCATGGCTGTTTCACACCTTGTTCTGAAGGTAGGTTTCCTGGAATCAGTGTTTTATGTGAGAACATCTTGCGCAACAAGTTTAATACTCTAGATGCTAAAGTGAGGCAGATCAGCTTGCTTCATATTTGATCTAAATAGAATTTCATGGAAGTTACCTACAGATTCCCCCCCCCCCCTTTTGGGGGGGGGCTTTTCTGATAAAGACTTTAACAGCTTCCTTAACTGAGAACAACCATCCAGATCTTACCTCCACCTTTTCCCTTTTGGGTGCAATGCCTGAGCTATGTGCTCTGTGTATAGTCCTAATAAGCATATGGCCCATGCTAGGAATTGTCTCTTCAGTGAGTTTCTCCTTCCTTAACTGGTGATCCTCCACAACATATGGTAAACAGGCCTTTTAAAGGGCCTGCCAGTTGGTTAAAAGTGTTGAAACAGTCTAAATACAAAGTAAGCAAGTTCACATTATCCTACAAAATTAGACTTCCCTCTGCTTGGGAATAAGTGAAAACATTAGCCAGTTGCTTGGGGTGGGTTGCTTTTACCTGCACCATTTTAGTTTTTGCCCTGGAGTTCTGAGAAGTATTTGTAAAACATCAAGCAGGGAGCAGTCTCTAATAACCTTGTGCACGTGAACTCAGCAGCTGGTGGATGGATGGTTCTGTGCAAGCAGGAGTAGCAGCATTCAATCCAGCAACTCCAACTGCTGCATGTCACGTCCTGCGCACATCTGCCTCTGAAATCCTGCCACAGATATCTAGCTTAATTTTCAAGACTCATGTAGTGGCTTGTTGGCTCTCTTGGGTTGTAGCAATTTCATGTTTCTTTTGGGCCGGTGAACTCTTATTGCAGGCAACTCCAATTCATTGGCTTCTGGTCTTGAGTTGAAATTTGCTGGGACCTGTTGTGAGAGAGAGGTTTTGGTTTAATTTGCTGAGATGGAAAAATTGGCTTGCCTTGCATTTCTTTCACTTGTACTGAACATTCCCTCTTGTCTCTAGGCTTGACAGGGGACCAACGACCTTATCATGGGAAAGAGAATGTGGACTCCAGGCACAATCGAGGCAGAGGAGCAGATACGACCCGCTTCCACACTGTCAACGTGGCGCAGCCTGTCCGCTTTAGCAGTAAGTTGCAGACTGGGGAAGCTGGTCCAAATTCCTAGCAGTCTGTTTAGGAGTCTGGGCAGTTTCTTCTTGAGAGGCTTTAAAAAACTTCCACAAACTCTGCCTGTGGAAGTCCATGAAAGGGAGCAGAACTTCAAAGGCTCTTTTGTAAGTTAGCACAGTGATGCTCAGACTGTGGATCCAGAGCCATAAGTAGCTCCTCAGCTTATTTCTTGTGCAGCATTGCAAGTGATATTATGGTTTTTGATTGATTGATCTTTACTAATTGCACTGGGTATTGTTTCTGCAGTTGTGAATAGTGCAGCACATGGATCTACACTAACACAACTTGTGCAATTACATATTATAGTTTCTTTTTCTTTTGATTTGGGAATGTATTTGCTGTGATTTACCTTGGGCGGTTTGTGATGTCGTAGCCAGATTCAAAAAGGGATTGGACACATTCTTGGAAGGAAGGTGCATCAGTAGCAATTGAACATGGGAGCCAGGGTAACAGCCTCTGAATCAGAACTTCCTAGATCTTAAATGCTGGAGGCTCCGAGTGGGGGAGAGGCAGTGTGGGGTGGGGGGAGGTGTGGAAACCCTGGTCATACCCAGTTCACTTTCCTTTTTAGCATCTGCTGTCTGCCACTGTGACAAAGGTGACTGGGTGAGATGGACTTATGGTCTGACCCAGTAAATGGGTAGTTCCCATTTCTCTGATTTGTCACTGACTGCTGGTCCCTGAGCTATTCAGGACTGAGTGCTTCTCACTTTGCACTTGTTTCTAGGCAGTGTTGTAACACAGTCAACTTAAGGTCAAGAGAAGCATGGAACTTAAGCAACTTTGCCCAAAAACAGATATGCCAGAGACCTAAATATTTATACATCAGTGCTTTTTGCTAAGGTGCACTATATAGAAACGCTGAAAATACTTAGATATTATCTCTTATATTATATCTTAATACTTATCAGAGAATATTCCAGAATAGCAACAGTTTTCTTGAAAAAATTGCAGTTCTCTGTTAAATTGTGGTGGATTTTTTTATGAAGGTGAGGAATCTTTGGGAACGTGAAAATATGTCCCTGTATTTCCAGAGAAATCGCAACACAGGAGCACTTTTTTTAACAAGGCCTTGTTCAACACATTTGTGCTTAAGATGCATTGTATTTGACAATTGCAATTATTTAATGCAGGGTTGAATAATGACTTTTTAAGTGGGGAATAAAATGTGATTGCTTTCAAAGTAGTATTACTTTAGGAAAAAGTGGTGATATTGGGCAGCAATTCACTTTGAAATTTGAAGTGTTCAGGAATAATTTCTGAAAACTACTCTTTTTTTTTTTTTCAAAGTATTCATGCATAGTAGTTTAGATCTTATAGACTTTGAAGAAAGATGTTCTGAAATTGGAAAGAACAAAACTCAAATAACTGAGGGTAAAATGTGAATGGCAGGTATTGCAGAAATAACACTGGAATAGAATCAGGTCAAGCCGGATGCAAAAGCTACAATAATCTTTCTTGTTAATCGATCTAATCGTGCTGTCCGTCTCTGAACTACTCCTGGCTATCGGTTCTTTTCAGTAATACCAGCATTATAGAGCCCATTGCTCCATTTCTGTCAACAGTGCCTTTGTGCTTTCTTCTGCACTTCCTTTGCTTACTGAATTGACATCCCTAGACTGTTCTTTGTAAGACCATGTTCTTCGCCCTATATCCTTTCCAGAGACTCACTTCTGCAGTGATATCTGCAAGCAGTTTAATCTGGCACCAGTGACTCTTTTTTTTTTTTTTTTTTAGTGGCTAACATCCAGGAGATGCAGCAGTTAGCTCTTCCTCCTTCTCTCCCACCTCATTTAGTATCTGTTACGCTTCTTGCTGCTGGTTTGAAAATAGATTGATTAGTTTGTAAGCTCTCCAAGGCAGTGTGTTCTGTCTTGTACAATCAAGCCTGGATCCTGATCAGGGACTTCTAAGTGCTGTCACAATGCAAGTGAGAAGTAAATTGCTTTTGAATAGCTGAAGTGCCAGAGCACCTTCCTTTCTAATTTTTTTTTATTTTTTTTTATTTTTTAACTAGTTTTATATTGGGAGCCACTGCAGTGATCCATAATACACTTCTACTCCTAGATCGGGGTGACCAACTTGTGGTGTTGATGCCATGAGTGACATGGGCTGCCTGTGTTCATGGCATGTAGCAAATTGGGGAGGGGACTGATAACACTGTGGGTGGGGAGTCAGAGCATCAGATCAGGCAGCATCAGAAAACAGTCTATTAGGTAAGGGAAAGGGATCCGAGTGGCAGTCATTGTGGATGCAGGGCTAATTTTGTGGGGGGCCTGCCAAAACAATTGGCCCCCGCTGTCCCGGATGAGGGGGTGACATTTTACAAAGTGTCTGTGTTTAGTCCATTGTGTTTGGAATACTAAAAGTGTTCATGTCACCTTCACAAACCATGTGAAGTACATTGTCTCAGGTTAAGATCCTAATTTGGGGGGATGGTTTCCCTTCTATTCTCCATGTTTCCTAGGAAAGTGCCCAACAGGATGGCATCACTATGAGGGCACCGCCAGCTGTTACAGGGTGTATTTAAATGGCGAGAACTACTGGGACGCTGTGCAGACATGTCAGAGGGTGAATGGGTCTTTGGCTACCTTCACTGCAGACCAGGAGCTCCGCTTCATCCTGGCACAGGAGTGGGACCTGGAGGAAAAAGCCTATGGAAGGAAGGACCAACGTAGGTGAGTAGAAAGGGGAAAATGTAGCACCTGCATCCTAGAAACAGCTTGTATGTGAGAACTGGTAACGGCTAACTTGGTAGGAGCAAGGTACTTCCACTTGCTTAGTAGAATCAGTGATGACCAGGGACTTCAGTTTAGGATAACCTCATTGGAGCAGTCTAAGCTATTGTCAGTGGCCACCTGTGTTTTATGTTCTGTTTGGTGCTAACAGAGGCTACAGATGTCACGTGACAGAAGTTGTGTTGGTGGGCACTTTCAACAACATCTTTTATATATTTGAATACCCTGTCCTCTCTGCCAGAACTGTAGCAAGAATGACAATTTTTTCAGGCATTAAGTCTGAGTCTTTGGAGGAATGCAGTAGTTTTAGCTTTCTCTCAGTTAACTGAATTTTCTCTCTTGGTAAAAGACTGGTAAAATTGGCAGCCTGCAAGAGGAGATTGGAATGAGCTGTAAGGTGCCATTTTCAGTGTATCCAAAGAAAAGCCTCTGAATATCTGATAACTTTAGGTGGGTGGAAGAAAGCTGTCAGTTGCTTGAGTTGCAAAAAAACTACTTGCACTCACTTTTAAAAACTGATTATAATATCTGTCTGTTGCTTTCCACCTGTTTTTTAGGCTGTCATCAGTAGCACTACTATTCAGTAATCAACTGCTGATTTATTTTAATTCAGCATCGCCCTAGAGATGCATTAGACAGCATGAGAATATGCACTGCACCTTACTGGATTTGGGATACCTTTGTGGAATTCCATCAAGAAGATCGTAAACTCTTTCATGGCAGTACAGTCTTGGAGTAGATTCAATGCTGGGATTTCTGTGTTAATAATAAAATAAATCCTCATATGTTGACATGTCATTTATTTTGGTATTATCAGTTAGCTCCCTTTTGGAAATAGGCAGGCAAAAACACAAACAAATCTGTTGGTGGATATATTCCCAAGCTGTGGCTTTGAAATGTAGCAGGACAGAGCATTAATGCTCTAAAAAGTCCAATTAAAAGTGAGAAATTGTAAGGTCTTGTATTTGATTCCTTTTTTTTGTACAGAAGTGTTTTTTCCCTTGTGATGCTGAGAATTCTCAAATCCCTATTTCTCTGTAGGTTCTGGGTTGGATATCAGTATGTCATTACCAACCGAAATCGTTCTTTAGAAGGTCACTGGCAGGTGGCTTACAAAGGTAAGCTTCAGAAAGTAGATGTCAATTTTCAGGCATTGTGCTTAGGAAGTAAAGCCTGCTAATTATAGTCTAAAACCTCTATTCCCAATTAGGAATGTAATCTCTAGGAACTTTGCTTTGTCAAAGGTGGAAGAAATGTATGTAAAATAACTTTCTGTCCATCACTGTCCATGAATTTTACCTTTTGGCTCCTTTTATAGTAAATCTGGGGAAAAGAAATACCCTTTCCATCAAAGAGTAACTTAACCCCTGCTTGCTGGAAAGCTGACTACCCTGCCATCTGCTGGTACAAGAATTTATATCAGTGGCAGTACATGCTAAGCAAAAAGAAATGCTTCACTTTTTAAATGTTTTTACCTGTCATATTTTTTTTTTTTTTAATATTCCATAGGGTGGTATAAATTCTCGATGTTATAGCAGCCTGCTTTAGATGGCCTATTGGAAGTAGTCCATGCATTTAAAAAAAAAAAAAAATCATCCCCTTTTCATGAATTAAATCTCATTTTTCAAAGGGACTTTAGGTTGTTGGGATCCTAAATTGTTCACTGACTTCCAGTGAGGTAAACTTCTAGCTGTTCATGTCTGTTTGAAAATGGGATTTAGGTTCCTAATTCTCCAAAGTATTTTTAGTTCATGGCAATTTTGTGTGCCTTGAGCTCTCTTGAGAGATGACTATATAAATGCTCATTTCTTTAGAAGAAATGATCTTGCATTCAGTTAAACAGTATTTCAGCAGGCCACTGCATCGGGGGACTGTTTCCCTTGTTACTGCTGTCATGTGTGTGGTCATAAAAGTGCTGAAGCTAATGTTTTCAAGCCTGCCAGGTTAAAATGTTTGCTTCCTATGTCCATATGGAGTTATGATTTCCCTTTTGCGCGTGCCCCACACCTTTGAATTTCAGGCCACTTGGGCATCAAAATATAGATTTAAGTACCAAACTTTGAAATTTTGGAATTGAGAGGTGCCAAGGGCATCCCCTTTGTTTCCTGTTAAAAAGCCTGTAGAGGTGGCAGCATGAAATGCATGGTGTTTGAGGCATGATGTGATAAATATTTATTTATTTATTAATATACTGTTTGCACTTTGAGTGTTCCCTTCATAACTTTTTTGAAAGGGTTTAGCAGAGGTAAGTAAACATTGTGTACATTTTACAGAAAATGTAACTGAGGCACACAAATTGGATAACTTGCCTAATGTTTCTGAGTCAATAGCCTTAAAGTCCAGGAGTCTTAACTTCATACCCTGCACTTGGTCTGCCTGGTCAGAGCTGCCTTGCTCTATTTAAAGCATATTCCATGCACAAACATAGGGAAATGTTTTCACAAAATAATCTGTGTGATGGAAAAATCTTACAGCTAGTTCCTCAGGCCTGGCTGTTTGGGTAATCAGCACTCTGTTGCAATGGGGACACCAGAAACTGTAGCTGATGAGACACCTAAGGGGCCATATCCACAACCAGAAGTCAACCCAGTGTGGCAGCTCAATTGCTGTGGGTCCATTTTCACAGCTGTGGTACTAGTTTTGAGCAGCAGCAGGAAGGGGCAGTTTCAGAACTAGCAGGTCTGTTGCTTGCTGTTTCCTTAGTGTGGAAAGATGTGTGCAAAGTAGGTATAAAAAGATCAGGATTTGCTGCATGCTGTTACACAAGGGCAAGACTTGTTTTCACGGTATGTATAATGTAGTTTGTAGCTATAGCAGCATTCTTTTCACCAACATCGTGATTTTGGGAGGCTGTATGAATTACTATCCATGAAGGAACATTGCTACCAGAAATTAAAACTCGGGTACTGTTGGGTGCACATGGAGTAGAAAACTTTTTTCTAGCACTTTGTAAACCCACTGGTTGCTCAGACTAGTCCATTCTCATTGCAGGTTCCTCAGAAGTGTTTTTACCTCCTGATCCCATCTTTGGAACGGCCATGTCTGAAAATGAAAATGTTCTTTGTGCCCAGCTTCAGTGTTTCCATTTTCCCACTCTTCGGCACCATGGCTTGCATAGCTGGTATGCTGAAAACTGCTATGAGAAGTCTTCGTTCCTCTGCAAAAGGAGTAAGTTGATCTTGTAATACAATACAGATGGACCTGTGTTTGGGCACCCTGTGATTGGATATGGAGGAGTCTGTTGCTCGCCCTTTGTGCTTCTTGTGCTGTCTTAATTTTTAAAAAAGTTTGCAGTTTGAGGGGACCAGTAATTGCCAGTCATAGAACAGTGCAGGTTTGCACTCATGGCACTGCTGATTGTATGGTAGGGAAGAATGTCAGGCTAGAAAGAGAAGACGATGGTAAAGCCCTTGTTTGTTAAATATTGACCTGTTGTTCCAAGCTTCCATATGAACTTGTCTCTGGCTTCCTTCAAATGTACAACCATCATTAAATCTCACTCGCTTTTTTTATATTAAATATGCAGTGAAGAAGGGGAAAAATACTTAAAGCACTTGAATGGGCTTTCATCTGTTTCCCATATTCCCTTTACTTTTAGCACTACAAAGTCATCTTTGAAAAAGGGAAACCCCTGCTTTAATGATCTGTGTCATTAATTAAGTTTGTTTAATTTTTATAAACCATCAAGCAGAATGAGTTGGACTCATATTGCTTTGAAGGGATTGTTTGAAAGCACTGATGCATGTTTCTCTTCCAGGCCAGACTTGTGTTGATATCAAAGACAACGTTGTTGATGAGGGCTACTATTTCACTCCAAAAGGGGATGATCCCTGTTTGAGCTGCACTTGTCACAATGGTGAGCCAGAGATGTGTGTGGCTGCCCTTTGTGAGCGGCCCCAGGGCTGTCAGCAGTATCGCAAAGACCCCAAGGAGTGCTGCAAATTCACATGCCTAGACCCAGGTAAGAGGTGAGACCAGCATGATGGTGGCCAAGTGAAACAAAATTTTTTGTTCAGCCTGATCGGCTGTCTGCAGTATTTAAGCTGACAGTGTGCAGCATCCCAGGTGTTTTGGGAAATATTTTTGGCTTCAGCTGGCATAAGCCTTTCAAGGGTTTTTTGGTGCAGGAGAAAGCTGGATAGGGAAACTCTTGACAGGTGCCTTGTGGGGAGAGATCTCAGCCTGATTGTTGCTTGTACATTTAAAGGCAACAGCTGAACCTGTTCAAGATGTGACCGTGTGGGGAGGGGAATGTGCATGCAATCTCTCCTGATGGAAATGAGTTGGTGGTACATATGGAACCCTTGGGGAGAACTAGAGGAAAGTGAGAAGATCCTGGGGAGGTCTCAGCCCTGCTAACTTTTTTTTCTCTCACTGTGGAGAACTGAGAGAGTGTCCTTTCATTTGGGTGGGCTCAACCTGTCTGTGATGGAAGCATTCGTCTGAGAATGGTCTTGCCTTAAAAGGGTTAATACAACTACAGATATTTTAGGAGAAAGTAGCATCTTGTTAAACCTGGGCACAAACACAGTACTACTTTTTCCCCTTTCTGCATACCACTGACAACCTCCTCCGTGGTCTCCTCACTAATCTGAAAGAACAGCTTCAGGATCCCTCTGAACTTTGAGACAAGGGGAGACCCCAAGACCTGGACTGGCCAACAAAAACTAACAGGATTGTCATAGCAGGAACTCAGAGCAAACAGGCCCCCTACCCTCCATGTGTGGTAGCTGATGCTGTGTTCAGAGAAGCAAGGGCAAAATATTTCTTCAATTATTAAGCTGCTGCTTTATTTTAATTAGCAGGTATAATCCTTCAAGGATATTTAATGTGTCTTAATTGTATTTGTAAATGAATCTTCGCATTATTTTAGCCTAGAAGTGAACTCACGAGACCCTTATTTTTCCAATTTGCCAGCTCTCCAGAGTTGGGGACACTAAATGAAAGAGTGAAAATCGGCAACTGCGAAAGCTTGGAAGAAAGAAGTTCTCCCTTTATAACTGTGTAATTAGGCAACCTGTGGCAGTGAGTTCCATGGACATTTAGGTCAGAAGATGGCAAGAATGTGGGAAGGGATTGGATGGTTACATGGAATGCTAAGGACGTCCTTAATCATGTTAGTTAATATTATGCTGGAAACTGCCTGGTGTAGTGCTTTTAATTACATACTTGTTTGTGGTGGGTAACTTCTTCGTGCTGGGTGCTTTTTGTGGGGATGAGGGGTGGAGATAAAGGGGTAAGTGGCTTTTATTTATTTATTTATTTTTTGTGTGGAAAGGCCTTTATTAGAAGTGTCTTATCTCAAGGAGGGTCATACCTATCAGGTGTAAATCTGGTTGGTCTCATAATGTGCAGACAACAGTTTTGCGACTGCTGGGAAGGAGCTTGTCATTCTGACATGTTGCTTCCATTTATCTAAATAGAGATAGAGGGAGTCTAGATCCTTGGAGACTCATTGGGTTCATACAGAGTGGAATCCCAGCTTTTGAAGAGTGTAAAAGGTTGGTATGAATTCTAGGCACAAGAGGGGGAAGCTTTTGGAGTAAGGGAGCACTTAAACCTAGGTGTGGATTCCACCTTCGCTACCAAGGAACTAGCTCCAAAAACTTGACAGGGTTTTGGAAATGCTTTTAAACTAGCAAATAGGTTTCTTGGACCCTGTGGTCTGTTCCTTGTGGTTTCTTGGGGGAGCTAGTAGGACAGAACTTCAAGAGGAAAGAGGAGAAATGACTGCTAACATGGAATAAAGGCTATTGGAGATTTAGTGAAGTAGTCCAGGAAAAAGTCCTGTGTCTTTAAGATGTTTAAATCTAAATGTGGCACAAGGTCAGTCATCAACACCTGTACCACTACAAGAAGCTTAAAAACAGAAATAGGTGACCTAGAAGACTTAGCAGTGGAAGAACACTTTGCCATGATAGGTGTTCGAGTGGGTCTGTTAATTAGATCAGTGCTTCTTTTTTCAGTATTTGATTGCAAGCTTAATTATACAGCCTTAAGGTAAGCATGTGATGGGACAAATCAGTACAGTTTCCATAGAGGAAAACTATTTCCAATCAGTGAAAATTCTTTTTGAGTACGTCACCAAACAAGTGACTGAAAGGGAGCTAGTAAAAAGAGACCTCCCCCTGCTTCAAGATGACCCCTCATTATTTTAGAGTCGGAGGAAGATTTCTGTGTGGGCAGGCTCTTATGCAGTCAACTACTTCAGGAGTCTGTGTTGTCCACTGAAACACGTAAGGACCAGCTGCTGCTACTGCACACACTATTGGACCAGATGGATTGCTAGTGTGATTTGGGTACAGCAATTCAGATACACCCGGGCTCATAGAGCAAGCAGTCTGTGTTTGGCTTGTGCTTCTATTAGTAACAGACTCTGACATGTGTGTCGCTTGTGTTGAGAATAGCAAAATGGGACTTCCCTTTTGAGACCAGTTGCTGTTATCAAGGCCACCTGGACCGAGTACTCATTAGCTTTGATTTCTCCCAACCAGTAGATGGTGCTGTTTGTCTCCAAACAACTTTTGGTAACAGATATATTTAGCTTTTATTTTAGCTTATAAGAAGTAATAAATGTCTGTAATATTTTGTTCATTTTTTCTGATACTAGCCCAGTTATTTGGAGAGTTCTTTTGAGTCAGCATGTGGAAATGGAGCATTTGCATCTCTGCAACCTTATCATCCCCCTGCAAGCCAAGTGATTGCCAACTCAGTCTTCAGGTGTTTCATCTTCAGTAGGTGGAATAATCCTCTAGTATTGTACAGAGAATGAACATGGCCTTTTTAAGTTCCTCTTTACAAGCTTTTCCCTAATTTTCAGATGTATTTGCTGCCCTCTTGTAGAGAGGGGCTACTGTTGAGAACTACCACACTCATGCATTGACCACTCTGCCAGCAAGTGCATAGTTTGGCTGGGATCCCTTAATCCCTGCGTAGCCAAGATTACAGCCAGGAGGAGAAGGGGCGATGTCTGCCTGTACATCTGCGGAGTGTAATGTGGTCTGACAAGTTACGTAAGCCATTGAAGAGCACAGTATAGAAAGTATGCCCATAGGTCCTTCCTGGAAGCAGGTGCCTTTCTCCTCTTAATTACTCTGGCCTTGGTGGGTGGCTTGTGCACTGCCTTGCTGGGACACAAGGAGCTGTTGCTTCTGAGCACTCGCATTTAAAATGCTTTTTGCCAGGGGGCATGAGGGAGAACATAGCACTTGCTTGGCATTAAGATACTGGCAGATTTTATGTTTGTAGAGATACTATATATCGGGAATCATGATTTACTGCTCCCTGGTGCAGGAGGAATTGATTTAGGCTTTCAGGCTTGTATTTGTCTAAGCAGTTATCGATTCAATTTTCCAAGGAGTTATTGAAAGACTATGGCCTTCCATATCAATGACCGCCTTGTTATGTGCAGAGGTAGAGTTATAAATTGTACAGTTTAGAAGCATGTTAGTAATCACTCAGTCTATGCAGCCTTCATCAGATGAACTGGGTTCAGAGTCTAGCTTTTTGTTCTCGGTCAATAAAAATCTAAGTTGATTCTGCAGTATATTACTTGCAAGTTGCCTTTTGGGGTGTGGCAGCTAAGTTTTGGTGAGCATTTCAAAGGGGATTTGTTTAAAATTATAATGCCAATGAGTTGTAAGCTTGTTTGACACATCTCTGCATAAGAAAATAACCAATTCATATCTTCCTTGAATAAATGTTCACAAATTCTGTGGAGAGTTGTCATTTTCTCTCTCTTACCAAGCCTTTGGTTTTGAGCATATGAAACCAGCCAACTGGCTTCCATAGTTGCAGCCAGTCTTGGACAACTGAACTGTTAGCTTTGTTAATGGTTTAAAGGCTGCAGGCAGCTTCTTGCTTTAATGGTCACATTCAACATGAACATTTTTAGACTTTAACTTGTATTTGGAGAGAGTTGAGGGGGAACAGCAGCCTTCCTTTCATTCGTATCAGTTGCGTTAAGACTAGTCTTTGCTATAGTGCTACACTTTTATCTTCAGAAACAATTTTTAGTGCCATGTCAGCCACCAGTCAGGATTGAGATGACATAGGATAACCTTGTCGCAGTGTTCTCTAATCCTTGTCTATGCCGTGGGTCTTACCCATTCCATGAATAGTGATTGTGAAGGCTGTGTTCTGCCATGCTCTTTCTGCGCTTAAGCCCTTTTCTCACCCCCCACTCACTTTGCACAAAATAAGACTCCTTAAAAACGCCTTTTGAAATTCTTGTCCGTGAGCAGCTAGCTTTTTAATTTAGATGTTGGGAGAAGATGTGTTTAAGCTGTTGTGAAACTTGGTTCATAATGAAATCTGTTCTGGCTGTGGTGAACATTGACATTTTGAAATGAAGCACTTCAGTATTTCCCCTCTGGGGGGGTTCATACATTACTATTCTAGATGGCAAAACTAATGAATTACTTTCTTTAATCAGTGCAGATTTGTCATTGTCAGAGATTTCTGTATATCTTCCCAAAACCCGCTTTGCAGAAGAAAGAAAACTGTTTACTAATCAGGAGTAGGTAAATTAATCATTGGAGGAAAGGCTAAGGGGAAATAAATCTTGCCACTGAGTTGGCAAGTTATAAGTGCTTGCTGCTGTCTGAGTTGGGGAGTAGCTATTATACAAGAATATTTTAAAAGGCACCAGGAGGAGAAACCCTTCAGTGCTAGGAATGAGTCACGCAGTCACATCCACATAGTCTCAGCAGACACTTGATCCATTTCCATTTAATGAGGAAGAATTATAGAGGAATTGTTTTAGTGCCTTTGTATTTACAGTACCAAAGCAGAGGGAGAAGTATATGTGTATCGGCTTGGTCTCCATGGGTGTGATAGAAAAGCAATTTTTAGTGTGGCAGCTGTTCAGACAAATCTACCCACATCTTTCGGTATATTTTATTTCTTTTAATCTCTCTCTACAAATGAAAGAACTGATTGCACGGAAGTCTCTGTAGCAAT